GTTCTTAAGCCATGTTAGAATATTTATATCCACCCCTAGACGCTTATGTGTATCCCACATCACACATACAAGGACTCATTTACACGGATGTTTATTGCAGTATTATTTATAATAGTGAGACATGGTAGCAACCAACAAAATTAGTGAGTGAGAGCCTTTTGCACATTCTGAGTTTATTTAATAACACTGAAAAGTGACGGTGACTATTGATTTGTAACATAGTCCACAAAATAACAAATTTAGTATGATGCCAATTTCATTAAATTTTATGCACTTCTAAGAAGGGAAAAAAATCAGTAGAAATAAAATAGTAATGGCTAGATGGTGATATTAGGGGTAAATATTATTGTATTCTCCCTATTTTTTTAATTTTTCATGAAACTAATACATGCTCATGATAATCTTGTAAAATATAATAATCATACAAACATACATGTGCACACAGATATATATATTCATGTACTTTTCTAAAAACTAATAAAAAGAGTTATCAGAAACTGGCCCATGGAAAACCAAATATGTTAAGCTTTTTTTTTTTTTAGAAACCAATAATAACAATGAAAACAACTCTGTTAAAACTCTGGCCCTTCTTATTATAAATAAGTTTTATGTTAATTATTGTAGTGATTTAAAGGCATTTGGAGGTTATCTATAGACATACTTTTGTGTGCAGTGCCTGACACACACATATCGTGGCTCCACAGTATGCTGTATTCTTGGAGGAATGAATAAGGGCTATTGCACAAGTGATGGCAAGGGCCTTCTCACCCTTTGATGACAAACCTTCTGACACACTTTTGAACCTATTTAAATAGACCATTGGTCCCGCTGTTTAACAACTTTTAAAAATGTCCTAATATTAACTACTCTTAAAACAGAAATCATTATTTTTGACAGATCCTCTCTAAAATCTAATTGGTTTAACACCTATAATCCAGTACAGCAAGTTAATTTGCTCATCTACTTGGGGGCACATTTTGCAATTAATTCTTTCCTGTGAGTTCGCAGTGGCACTTATTGCTTAAATCTAGATGATTCACAAGAGCATCATCGAGATTTCCTGCAACTGCTGTTACTGGGTGATGGTCACACCTGTAGTGAAATTTTTTCAAGATAAAATTAGCTGGACCCTGTTCTATGACATGGGAATTCTAGGAGTTCATTGATGGATCATTTATTTGTAAAGATGGCACCAGAAATTATAAGTGAGGGGTCCTGTCTGTACTTATAGATCCTATGGCTCATGTTTATAAGATAGTCAGACAGTCTGACAGAATAAGCTCTGAAAATGTACGAATATGATGCAGAATTTGTCCCTGCATACCTAACAAAACATATGAATCTGGACGCAATGAAATCTTAACAAAATGTTCACAGTAGGCTCTCAGGAGAGATACTTTCTAATGATCTATGACCCATCACAAGTCTGTTGAAAGCAATTTTCACACAAATCTTACCATTGTGGGTCTGATGTAATTCTCCTTAATTTCCTATCACCGGACTTGACCCGGGGCAATAAGAAAAAAAGTGAGTCTGGTCCCTTGTAGTTGCTGCCAGGGTGACCTCCGAAGGCACCTGTCTTGCAGTACTCCTGGGCTCCTCTCATCCCCAGTAGTGCTGACTTGTGTAACCCACATGACAGTACAGAAATAAGCATCCTCGACTTCTCAAACTGGGTCTTAAAATGCTTTGCCATCAGCACTTCATCTTTCTTGGATTACCTGCCAGAGGCCATGTAGGGTGTGGGAAGTCCACGTAGGAGCAACTGAGACCTCCAGCCACTGCCCTGTAAATGAGCCATGGGCTGGAGGGCTGTACACTCATCCTTCACCCTGAACGTAGCCCTATGAGACTCCCTAAGCCAGAGCCCTCAGCTGAGCTACTACTCAACCCCTGACCCTCAGAAACCATGAGAGATCAAAAGTACTTTCCATTTTAACCTGCTAACTGTTGGGGTAATTGTTGTGTAACAATAAATGATCAATGCATTCCTTTTAAGAAAACTTACTCAAATGAGTGGTTAATCTACACTTTGGGGATTTAAATTCAATTATTTCAGGATTCTTTACTTCTTTCTCTCCGCAGGTGAGATTGTGAATCTAAGTTCCAGGGCATTTTATTTACTCCCCTAACATTGGAGAAAGGACCTCCTGGCCATTAATTTCTTTATTAGTTAGAATTGTTGGGGTTATTGATAACAGAAGGGCAGAACCAATGTAGTTCAGATAATGGGCATTTTTATCTCACACTGTGTGTGAAGTTAGATATTTCCAGAGCCAGGCCGTTCTACAGTTCAACAACCTCAGACTCTTGTTAGCTTTTCTTTCTTTGATTTTCTTTTATGGCATTCCCTTTCCTGTGAATCATCTATTCAAACCTTTTCCACATTTTTTGTAGGTGAGTAATCATTTTCCTATCAATTTCTTAGAACTCTTTGTATATTAAGAGGTCAACTTTCATCTGTGATATAAGTTGCAATGTTCCCGAATCTATCAGGTGACGTGTTACTTCATCTTTGGTATTTTTGATTATGCATATATTTAATAATAAACTTAAATTTATCAATCTTTTTCTTCTGTAGTTCCTAGATTTTGAGTCCTATTTAAAACATTTCCTCCCAGGCCAAAGTTACAAAGCAATTATCTCATGGTTTTTTCCAATGCCTTTAAGTGTTTTTATAAACACTTAAATGCTCGGTTAATTAACTTATTACAATGAATTAATAATGATTATTTTAATTACAGTTATGGCTCTAATTCATTCATTTCCCTTGATGTACATAATCTGAAATATGGATCCAACTAAATTTTTCCTCCAGAACCCCGATACGACTTATTGAGTGGCTTATTTCCCACCACCCTCCCTTTGGCAATCATGTGTAACTCTCCCATAATCACCATCCCCATTGAATGAGCAGGGTCATAGACAACTTTCCAACCATTAATAGAACCCAAAGGAACGGCACTGTGTGCTTCAGAACAGGAGAAGCAAACCATGGCCAGAGAGTCAGATCTGGCTTGCCCCCTGTTTTTATAAATAAAACTTTATTGGCACATAGCCACACCCACTCATCCATATATCATCTATGGCTGTTTTTATACTACAAGGGCAAAACAGAAGAGTTGCAACAGAGCCTCAAACATTGACCCTTTTCATTCAGACAGTTTTTCCTGCAAAAACAATCTCTGCTTTCCACAGTGCCTCAAGGGCTGATTCTTTGTGAAACTCTTAGCTCCCTGCACCCCCCAGAGCACTCTGGGCATTCCAACGATTCTTTAATTAATGTTAACATAGGCATTTTTTAATGCTGATTTGCCAAAAGAAAACAAAATAAAGCCCAGGAAAGAGAGAAAATAATAGGAATGACAGGGAGGAGCCTGAAACCAGTTTTTAGGCACAACAATTAGATTAGGTATATACCTACTCCCCACAGCAAATAAGAATCTTATGAATGGAAAAACTGGAAAAATGGCACTGAATGTCTTCCAGCTTAGGATGCCCACAGCACAGATGTAAATATCTATCCCCAATTTTTTCTAGGCAAATAAAGAAGAAAGGTTGCACCACTGTTTGCTAAAGTCGCTTTCTTAAGGAAATGTTTGTCTTTTGCAAGAATCAGGGGGGCTTATGCTGAGACCAAAAAGAAGGGATATTAAGCACATTTTTTAAAGCTATCTTTTTAATAAACTGTACACATAAAATCTAAGCAATCCACACAATTCCCCCAAAGACACTCTATGTTTCTACCCCGCACACCCACTGGCTCAATAAAGTCACATCTTTCTGTTATTAATAAGGCAGTTCGCCTCAGGTACTTCTTTAATTTCCTGTATTTTTTCCAACACAAAGTTAATTTACTTTATCCCTTATCCCAAGAATGATAACAAGGTTTCTATAAAAGTGAACATTCGTGATCAAAGAGAAGCTTGTATTATAAACAAATTATTACAACTGGGCTCCCTTTGAAATATTTTAACTTAATTAAGCTCAAACACTTTTGGCAAAGGTTTAAAAACTTGAGAGTAATTGAAGCATCATTCCGATTTGGCTGGATTTTTCTTTTAATGTTGGAGTAAAGGGGAGGGTAGTTTACACGGTTATAGCCTAAAATGTTACAGTGATATTGTTTTTTAGTTGCTACCTTTTTAAGCAAAAGGTATTAAGCAAAATTGAATTTGTTTGTGGAGGAGGGAATCAGGGCCTGGCTTGCTTACAGTGGGGGTTACAGGACTGTATGCATTTGTCATAACACAGAACTGGACACTAAGAGTCGAATCTTACTGTGTGTAAATTATACCTCCATAAACCTCACTTTTTTAAAAATTGGATTCTGGAGACTCAGCTGAGTTGAAAATGTCCCCAAGATTATTTTTGTAGTATTATCTAAAATGACCAAAACAAAGAAAAAGATAACTAGAAATGACATCAATATTGATCAGGAGAGAAATTGGTTCATTTTAAAAATGACTTAAATCTATATATTGAGCTGGAAGACTCTATAAAATATTGTTAAATGGAGGGGAAAAGCAAGTTGCAGAATAATGTGTTTATAAAGGAAACTGTATCAACATCTGAGGTAGTGATACCACCTCATTTAACAAATAAATTTTTAAAAGGTAAGATTAAAAAGTAACAGGGCCCGGGATTTAGCTCAGTGGTTCCACCACCTGCCTTGCTAGCGCAAGGTCCTGAGTTCAATCCCCAGTACCAAAAAAAAAAAGTAACTAATACTTATTGGCAACTTCAATGTACCAGGCATGATGCCACGCAGCTTACAAATATTATCTCATTTAATTATCATCAAAACCCTATGAAGCAGGTACTACAGATCTACTCTCTCTCTCATTCAAGGTTTTACTTCATCCTTTGGGGCTTGATACATTTTAGAAGTCAAAGTCCTTTGAGTTTTAGAAAGTAGTAAGTTGTATTATTTATCCATTCCTGTGGTTCAACGTGCCCCATATGTAACAGCTTAGAACAGCAAAGGTGGGTTATCTTACCGTCTGTGAGTCAGGATCCGCACATGGCTCCGCAGCCTCGCAGTGTGCCTTAAATGTGGTTATCCTCAGGGTTCCAGCCAGGGCTGCCATCTCACCTGAGGGCTAAAGGACAAGGACACATCTTTCCAGTCCCAGCCCCATGACTGTGGCTCACCTCTGCCTCCCCATGTGGAAGGCCTCACAACCTGGTGGTCATCTTCCCCCAGGCCAAGCAATTCAAGAAACCGTGAAAGAGAACACCCAAAGGACATGTGACAGCTCACCTGATTAATCCTGAAAGCAAGCAGCACTCCACCCTTCCCGCCATATTCTATTTGTAACCAGAAAGCCAGTGAGACCTGCCCACCTTCATGGGGGGAGTTGACCCTGAGACTTCCTGTCAGGAGGTGGGATACTGGGCCACCCCGGAACATCTGCCAAGGGCTCCCTAACTCCTACAGTGACATCTGGGACACCATTTTGAATCAAAACCAGATATTTGTGTAGCAAAACATTGACTCTTCGTGCTACACGAGATAAATAATGACGATGCATAGCCCTGTATGAGTTCCGGTTTGCTTCCAAGTAGCTGATGAACACACTTTTGGTTTGGAGACCCTCTGGGTTTTCAGAATTATGAAACCAAGTCTGGAGCTCTGCATTATCATCCACCCACTTCACAGCGGTGATGCTGAGCCCAGAGAGGTTAAGATGCACACAGGCGCGTGTACGGGCACGTACCGGGCACCGAGCTCGAGGAGAAGGAGAGAGTTCCATACATGTCTGCAATGCTCAGCTCATTACAAACTCATACTGCAGTAGCACTCCGTTAGTTTTAGATTAGTAAAATACATTCTGTTCTTCAAAAAATAAAGCCATATTTCTCCTCTGTGGTAAGGAATTTGAGCTGAGCGCCAAAGGCATTATGCAGAGTGAATTGGCTTATAGCACATCAGACTGTGTGCACCTCGGGAGATCACACAGTGGGAAAATTAGGGAAACGAGGAAGAAGCACAAGAAGAGGAAGGAAGCAAAGGCGTCATAAACGAGATGCACGCCCTGGGTCTGGGCGGCGTCGGCAGGGCCCGGGGGCCGGAAATGAGCGCGGGGTGAGAAAACGCTATCCGAGGTGTGGGGGGATGAGCTTGGTCCCCAGAGTTTGGTGCGAACGCTGCAAAGCCCCTGCCTGTGAGGTGGCGAGAACACTGACAGCAGCCAGACTCCGACCTCTGGTCTGCCCCGATTCTCAGTCAGAATTTGGAACATGTATTAAATACAGCATCACAGGAGGGAAGGAGTCAGTCCTTTATTTTGGGTTTTACTTTTTTATGACCTGTTTAAACAGATAACAACTGATTTTAATAACTGCAAGTGATATTAGATACACTGAATGGCCCTACTTCAGATTCTGTATATGTTTAACAAATTAAGCATTTCTTCTTTATCACTAAAGGAAAGCGCTTAGCAGGGCAAGCTGAGAAATTCTTATAATGTCCTCTAAGGTTACTAATAAGCCAAACGTCACTGGCCTCTATTGTAATACTGACTTTAATCTGGCGCATCAATTCCAAGTGCACTCCTGTCAGGATCAGAAATGGCTTGGAGACTATGACATGGCAAAGCTCTTTCTTTAGAAGCAAATTTTAGGAGCCAGGGTGGAAAAGGGAGCACAGCAATGCTTGACAGGTAGCCAGGCTGCCCTGTCATCCCTCGGCCTCCCACAAGGTGGCGATGCTTCTCAGCAGCCGGTACAAGGTGCTTTCCCTGACACCGTGATAAGGCTGCTGTTGGCCTCAAAGTGTCCAATACCTCCCCACCCCTGAGAAATGTCTCTTCCCATAAGAGAAGGATTCTGGAATGTGTTCACGTTCACAATGTTGTCTTAAAGCACCATGGAAGATGAATTCATAAGGGTAACAATTCACACAGGTAGCATGGTCCAGGGGCTTCAAGTCCCAACTCTGAGAGGCTGTGTTGCCTCGAAATAATTACTTGTCCTCTCTGTCTCAATCCCCTCACCTATAAAACAGCTGCAATAATACCGCCAATAACAGTACCTAGCTTAGAAGAAGGCTGATGGGAGGCAGAAAAGCCCTTACAATAGTGTTTGACACGTACCAAACATGATTTATGAGGTGACTACCATTTCTGAGCACCCTGAGAACAGGTTCTTCCTAGTGAGTTGGCCGTATTTTACCTACTCTTGCTAGCAACACTAGAAGTAAGGACCAGCATTAGACCCATTTAGCAGATGAGAAAATCAAGGCCAAACACATGAGGGAAATGAATGTCCCACAGTCTAAGTTTGGGGCCGAGGATGAATTCATATCTATGTAATTCACATCTTCCTACCCCTAAGTCCATGTTCTTAATTATCTAGGCCAAATAGTATAAGTAATAAAAATCAGGATGCATATAGCTCAAATAGAGATAAATGGCAACTGCAAACTCTACCTCTTGCCCCCTAAAAGTGTGCTTTCCTCTCCCCAACATAATTTTATTTTCTTCCCTTTTCATGGCTTACCTCCCTTAAGTTAAATTTTTACTTGAACACTTATTTCTAAAACCCACAGGAGGTATCTATAACCTAAATCTTTAAAAATTCCTGAGATATGGCTTTGAGGTGAACTTAAGAATTTCCCACTTAAACAAAAAAAAAGGTTAGATTATTTAAAAGTCAAGAAAAGATGATTCTGCAGTTCTGCACAAGGATAAAAATAGAATTCCACGTCCTCTACCCAAAATCTCCACCACTTTCCAACTGCTGGGGGGTTTTTGCCTGTCAGTCCTTGAAATGACCTTGGTTTAATTACCTGCATCTCAATGAGTGAATCTACATAGAAAGTGAAGGTTAATTAATGAAGAATTGTTTCTTTTCTGAGCCCACCAGTCAGTGGCTGACAGCAAGCCACATCCACGCAATATTATCCTCTCTCATTAGAAATGGTCAAATTGGGCCGGGGATTTAGCTCAGTGGTTCCATCGCCTACCTCGCAAGCACAAGGTCCCGAGTTCGATCCCCGGTACCAAATAAATAAATAATTAATTAAACAAATAAATAGAAATGGTCAGATTGATGCGTTCACTTTGGAGCAAGGGAAGGGAAGGAAATAGTTTACTAATGATGGCTGTTCACAAAGCTCCCACTTAGCACCTCTAACCTTGAGTGGCCCTGACCCCAAACTCACAGAATCCAAAAATGTGAGAGCAGGTAGAAATGCAAAAATCAGAGTCTAGTGAGGTTCAGACACTCATATGCCCGGTGCACAATATATTCACATCACTCCTGTTCTATTCTTTCTCTTCATATTCCTCGTCTTCATATATTTTTTAAACTAAGTTGCTCGGAAGCAGGGATTCAGAGTCTCAACATGAGTGATATTGGGAGCCGATGACAGCACTGTGGGATGTTGAGCTGCGTCCCAGCTTCCACTCACCGGGTGCTGGTAGCGCCCTCCCCAAGTTGTGACAACTAAAAATGTCTCCAGACACTGTCCTAAGTCGCCCTGGGGGCCAAAACTGTCCCTACTAGCAGGATGAAGAGGGGAAATGCAATTGGGGGGATTTTCCTTTTAGCTTTTTCTGTCAAATAACTTCAGACTTGGAGAAAGAGGAGGTGAAGGCAGTATTCATGCACACTTGTCCCTCAGACTTCCCAATGCTTCCACTTTACAAAACCACGGCCCAATTATTGAAAACGGGGAATTAACACCAAAACGGTAATATGTAATTTATGGATCTCACTCAATTATCAGCAAGTACTCATCACCATCTCTTTCCTGGAGACCCAGGAAAGACCCAGGACCCAAAGTGTTGGCAGTACTAGAGGCGTTTCTCCTCAGGACCCGGACCCGGACCCAATCCAGAACTGCATGTGACTGTCCTGTCTTCCCGTCGCCAGTCCGGGACAAGTCCATAGCTCCTTGGTCTTTCTTTGCCTCCCACGGCCTTGGCATGTTTGAAGAACACTGTCCAGTTAGTTGCACTGCAAAATACCTCCTTTGGAGGCTGCCCTGGTGCTCTCTGGCCATTAGGTTGAAGCGTGTTTGGGTTTGGCTCGGCTTGGTTTGGTTTTAGTACTGAAGACCGAAACCAGGAACTTCACACTGAGCTACATTTCCCAGCCTTTTCCTTCTTTCCTTCCTTCCTTCCTTCCTTCCTTCCTTTCTTTTCCTTCCTTACTTTCTTCCTATTTCTTTCCTTCCTTTCCTTCTTTCTTTTTAAATTTAGAAGGAACAGGTCTCACTAAGTCACTAATCTGTCCAGATGGGACTCACACTTGGGGGCCTCCAGCCTCAGTTTCCCAGAGTGCTGGGATGACAGCGTGGCCCCCACGTCCAGGTGCAGGTAGCATTTTGATGAAAACACTGCGGCAGCTCTGTGCTTCTCAGGGCGTCTCCTCGGGAGCAGAACTGCTGCTCGCTTTGGTTACTTTATGGAGACTGTGAGCAGTCTCTCCCCTATAAATCTCCGATTTCTGCCTTTGTACTTTGTTTGTGTATTCTGAGCACATTCCTTTAGACTATGGCACTGTGGACACATCGCATTTCTCACCTTGACTTTGCCCACTGATTTGGGCATCTAGTGACAATTCTTGGGTGCAGTAATTATTACTGGGCCGCCTGCCGCATGGCGCCTTCCTATTTCCATCATTCTCCAGTTATACTTGGAATTCCAAGGTAAGGAATTAGCTAGCTTGGTCTCCTTTATTTGAAAGTTATTTTTAGAGAAACTTCTGTCTCAAAAACTAGCATTAAAATAAGTGTTTTCATGATGAATCACAGTAGTAAAAGATAAATTCAATTAAAAATACTTTTTTCTTTCTGGCTATTACAGCTTTGATATTTCATTTCTCCTTGTTAAAGAGAGATGAATATGCATCAGAAAAGCACTAAAAACACACGAGAACCACACCACCTTTCTCCTTGATACGTACTCGGAAAGACCGGAAGACAGTACGGAAGGGAGCTCCACGCAAGTCCCTACCACTTCGGGTCAGATCTTCTCTTTCTCCAGGGCCCGTGTCTGGCACGCTGAAAACACTGGGTCTCTTTTGCCATTTTCCGAATGAAGCCACTGAGGCCCAATGCAGCTAACTTCCTTCTCGGTAGCCATCGAGAGAG